CCTGCTGTGATCTGATTTCATTCTACTAATGCCTAAATAAAAGTATAGCTACTGGGCTTGAATCTTGTTTTTTGTGCTCATAAGGACGATAGTCAGATCCATCATTCGCATAGTGGCATAGCTGATGTCTAATCGGAACCGGAGATAAGAAAGTACCGTCAAAATGATATGAAAGATCATAATAATGATTGTGGCCGTCTTGGTCGATTGCATCCAGGGAAATCCAATTTCATGACTGAAGACCGACTGTTGCTTCTTCTTCTTATGGCTCTTCCCGTTCGGGGTCACCACAGTGGATCATCTATTTCCATCTAGTTGATACCCTAGAGCTCGACAATCCAAAACGGAAATCTGATTTTATGATCGGCGTATTTTGATTTGCTTTTACGGCAGATAATGAGACCGGGGGGGTTACACCCGGAGGGGACCCACGCCAACACAGGCCCACAGAAAGGGGCCTACAGGGGAACCCAAAACCTTCTTGTTGTGAGGTGGCAGTGCTAACCACTGCACCAACATTACACAAATTACACAAGGGTGCTATATTGCTTGCGTCTTTGTTTTCCCCTGTATGCACAGATTCTCAGGCACATGTGACCCAGTTTTGATAAAACTTGAAATAATAAATCATGCATCTTGCCACTGCTGTCCTCATTCCTACAGTTAATCAGCAATGATTTGCTGAAATTAATGTACAATTACAGCGCGAAACAAGATACAGAAATGAGGTACAAATGATGGTGTATTGCTTAATAACCTTTACGGGTCCATGCAACTAAAGCAAAATGATGTCACCACAACATTCTGTCATGCGTACACCGTCTGGTCACAAAATGTACTTGGACGGCTTCTAAGAAAAGACTCAATTACCGCCTGACGGGTATGATGACAGTTCTGATACAGTGTGCCTTAGAGTATCTTGTCAGTGTGTAACATCACATATCGACTAGGGAGAAGCCCGATCTGTTTATGTCCAACCTGACGACACTGATAGGTGACAATATCACCAAGAAAAGCCTGAAGACACATCTCAGTATTCGAGTGAATGTGTTTATCCGAAAATGTCATAAAGCCAACGCTGCATTTTTTTAATCTTCTCTTCGCCCCAAAAAAATAGTTTTTACTTCAGAGACTTCCCGTCCACATCAATAAATGCAAACACTCGAGACATTTCAGAGCATTACATCTCAACATCAATGAGTTCAAAATACCACAGATCACCACCCCAATCTATATTCAAATCATGGCATTTCTCCCCGTGTGGATATTTCAGCACAGCTCTCAGCGATTTAGGATTGAGAGCAGGAGGCTCAATGATGATCGCCACAGCTTGCATGCATTGCTGCTCTTTCAGGTGTCACATTTGATTTTCTACTTGCTGATGAGCTTGATTTTTGAGACCCGTTTGTCGTGTTTGTCGTTATATGTCTTGACGTGCACTGATGTGTCGAGTCCCAACCCATATGCAGAACAATACAGCTTGCCTCATGAGAACATTATTTCAATCAACCATGTTTGATGACATCAAACCACCACTTTATCTTTACTCAAGCAAATAAAAGAAAGTAAAGTTGGTTTCTTTTGAAGCTAATTGGATTGATTTTGGTCAGTGATGGCAAACACCAGAGTTTATTTCACATAAAGGATAAAGGATGCCACTCTCCCCGATGCAAATGTCAGCTACATGACAGCATCAAAACTCTGAACCTACTTTTAAGACCAACAATGCTCTATATTATTAATATTCTCCGGTTGGCTAGCAGAGATTGGCTAGTCAAACTAGTGCCTAAGAAGGATGTGTAGGGTAATGAATGTATCATGAATATGTTCTTGTCCTTGTGTGTGAAAACACTTAGAGCCCAGTCCCATGAAAGCTGAGTGAAATCATGGCCTAATTGTGTTTGAAGAATCGAGAGCCTCACCTGGCCGTAGTCTCTCAGCTCCTCTGGAGTCTTTTGTCAAGTAGAATTCAATTATCTTTGCTTCAGCACAACCCTTTTAAAAGGAGGATTTCACTAGAGCACAGCATCCACACAATGTGTAGACGGGCCACCAAAACAAACAGTTATCTCCTCTCACAGAGGATTTTCCAACGATGTGCTGGGAAAAACATTAATTACTGCAAACAAATCCCTGTCATAATCTACTGCCATACTCCTCCTATGTGTAATACATGTTTTGCTATCGGCTTTATTTGTTGTTGCTGTGCTTATCCAGTGGCACGCCCAAAGTACAATACCAACACGCAATTTAATGGATAAAAAAAATATCTTCGAAAAAGAGTTTATCGCAGACATGGCATCCTGACATGACAGCGTTCTCAAGCACCGCCAGAGTCATAACAGACCTACGTGCATGCATAATGTTACTTGGGATGTTTGCTGAATTCATTTACATGTTTACTGTGAACCTGCATTTACAAATTGCTTGTCATATGCGACACTTCACTGCATGCATGTGTGGATTATTGAGAATCCCCTGACATTGATTAATTCACCAAGGCTTTTTTTTCCCTACAGGGAATTATCTGTAATCAATCAGATGTCTCCTTCCTTTTTAGCCAATCACATGAGCGTGCCCCAACAAGGGTGTAATTTACACACTCATGCACAGCGTGAGTGATGTGGAAAGGAATCTCCCGAAAACTAGTCAGACAGCTAGCTTTGGCGAAGTAGTGCAAACATTTAACTTGTGTTGAAAACAATCGAACCTGGACAGAAAAGTCTGTAAGGACCCCTGAAATAATCCAAACAAAAGGGATACAGAAACTGGATGGAAGGTTACATCAAGACCACTTCCATCCAGCATGTTGCTATTGACAGCTGGCTAACATTGGCTATGGTTAGCTAACATTGGCTAATGCTAGCTGGCAGACACCAACGTTAGCTGTGTGGTGTTGTAAGAGAAGCGTAGGTCATTTAGAGAATAGTCGAGCCCATGCAGAGTGTTTGTGTGTCCTTGGGAAGTGAGTGATGGAGCAAAAGAGAGAGAGAGCAATTTAAAAGACATTGAAATTCCTTCCTTTGTGAAGAAGAGCCGGTTAACATGAAGCAGGGAGTCATCCAAGAGGTATGTGAGGCCACCTGGCCAAGGTTTTTAAGGACAAACCCATGTTGATGCTGAGAGGGAAAGCTATTGTTTGCAAGACGGTGTGCTCAGCATATAGAGCAGAGACCAAGGCAGCCATGAGCCATGAGCATAACCACCAAACTCATCAACCAAAACACGGTTATGCCACCAGCTGCTGCTATTGCAACACCCCACGCCAACGCTTTCATCCAGAACACCCCTGTTATCCCCCACACTCCACATGCCCAGGGCTGTAAACCCGTAAAAGACAATTGGACATTCACAAGAACAAAGATATTGTCAGACTGTGCAGTTAAAGGGCTCCTCCCCCAAATGCGAGTGGCCCAAGTCACTAGCCGTCATCTGAGAGTGAAGAAGAAGAAGACCGCTTTACATCCTGGTCAGTATGATGGCACCACGGGTTGGAAAGATTGTCTAGACAGGTTTGAGAGCTGTGCTAAAGCTAATAGCTAGTCAGAAAAGACAATGGCTGTCCAGTTTAAGTTCTGCTTGGTGGGTACAGTAGGAGCAAACACCCACAGAAATCGACGGTCTTCTCAGTGGGACTACTGCTGCCTGGAGGGAGGAGATGGAGATCAACTTTGGCCCTTTTTCAGAGTATACTGCTGCAATGGCCATTGAGCTGATGCACAAACTGGGTGAGGCTCTTCGAGTTTTAAGAGACGTCATATGTGGAAAAAGTGTCAGTAGCCTACAGCGACAAAACTGTAGGGAATGCAGAAATTGTACAGAAACTGCTAGAACAGCAGTCCACACACTGTCTCAAGATCATGACACCGTCCGTCACCATGAAAGCTCCAAGGGGGCAAGGGGGCATCATACGTCAACAGCTTCATGCAATCCAGAGCACTCCCAACTTCATGACGTTGGGCGGGAGAGTGAGTGAGCCAGTTTCACCAGTTGCTGTATCCCTTTGTTTAAACTCTTTTGAGATCTTGACAGACTCAGCTGAGGAGCACAAGTCAAATGTTTGCTAAAGCTAGCTGTCCGATTTGTTTCCTGGAGATTCCTTTCCACGGTGTTCCCTAAATGAGCATGAGGGAACAGCATCATACCCTCGTGCGGGCGTGCTCTTGTGATTGGTTGAAAAGGAAGGAGACATTTGATGGGCTACAGACAAATCCCTGTTTTGTGAATAGAGTGAAAATTGCCAATACTTTTAAATACATGTATTTCTGTTACATTTATTTAAAACAAGAAGCACTTGTGTGTGCATCAGAAACATTTTTGTGAAGCGAGTCATTATACATACATACATATATACATACATATATATATACATACATACATACATACATACATAGCACAAAATACATTTGTGAATCCTTCTGCCTGCATTCATTAATATTGAGACTGATCTGTCCCCACAGCAAACGACCAGCCAAAAACCCCACCAACATCATTTTCTCTCTCTCTTGTCCTTCATTTTTCCTAATTTGTCATCTGAAACACAGCCTGCTATTCACACGGCTGAGCAGATGTTGTGTGAGGAGCAGACTATGAATGCGTCCAGTCTCTCAGTTTTGGACAAAAATCCTGAGAACCTTCCTCCTCAGCCACCTGCATCTCATCAATGCCAACCAAACAAGAATAAAGAGACACGAGAGAAGAAAAATAGAGTAGAGGGGATAGAACAGCATCTCTCAAGCCTCTCGTTAAACCAGTACCTTGATACAGGCAGCTTCAGTGGTGTACTGTGGCCCTCTAGTGGTCGCATGTGGTTCGTTGCACTACTTTCCTACTGAAGTATGATCTCTGAACTCTGAGACTAAATACAGATCACATCTATAAATTGTGAAGAGAACAGCTGTTTCCCCCACTTTTCATCATCATATTGCTTTTTTTCACATTAAACCAAGTCTCTGAAACAAGTTATGTGAAGATATCTGATGAGAGTGGTAGTTTCCTACCAGACAGGCTGCGAGGGCGGGCCTCCGTGAGATCTGAGATGGCTCCGGTGGTCACAGTCTTCTTCATCCGGGAGCCAGCGGCTCCCAGAGCAGGCTTTATCAAGGCATCATCACTGCTGGCTCTTTTCAGCTAGAAACACATCTGCTGTTAGTATCAACAATATACGGTCTAATAATGCTAAATAAAGTATTGAAGTGATTTAATCAGTTTTGTCACTTGTGTAAAGGTATCATCATGGTAGTTTGTGTTAGAATGTAGTGCGCTCGTGACCCACCCTGCTGAGGCGCTGGTCTGAGGCCAGCGTGTTAGAAGATCTGGAGGTCTTCATGGCTGTGGAGGAGGTGGTGGTGGAGGAAAATGTGGTCGAGGAGGCTTGCTTGCTCCGCTCCTGGAGTCCCGGCTTGGGCAGCCCCACCTTCATGGCCCCCGATTTCATCATGGCTGTGCGTCAGCTAACTACACCTGAGAGAGAGGTCCAAAGAAGAGAGGACATTGTTCAATAACAAACTTCTGTATGGTTATCCTTAAGCATTCATATGCCTGTGTATTCAGCTCCCCTAGAGCTGGTGGGCAGATTCTTCCAGAACAGTTGCTCAGTAGGCTATTGTCTCATTGAAGGTTGATCTCTTTAAGCACAATGCCGAAGGCACCAGCACAAATATCAACACATGATCTTCCATTCACTCTGAAAACACAAGAAACTGGCCTTTGACTTGTAAAATTGCTTTTAACCAATATTTAATAAAAATTAATAACTTTATAAATACATTTAGTTAACTCGATTTTTAGCCTCACGTACATATAATTTTCTATCTACAATAACTTTGACTAAAGCTGACTTTTCTGCCTCTTTGCTTTATCTGGCTGTAACTAAATCTACTAAGGAAATTACCACTACTGCAGAAGAAGACATACAAAACAAATATATCAATATATCAAATATCAAGCAATAAACAAATAAAACAGTTTAGCAATGCGCTAGCTATAGCTATAGATGCGAGTCAAAATTAGAATTGCTCCCTCAAGCGCCACAGACGCATACAATTACATTTTTCCACGACAGTCATGCGTCTGTCAGGAATACGTTCATAAAGTAATACAATAACGGCTTCGTTTTTTCCAGCTCCAACAGGATGTGGTCAGACAGACTGTTAAAAGTGTGCATTTGACGTCCAGAAGGAAATGTACTCATCTGGGCAAAGACTAGAAGTAGGAAATGGAAGGAGGTGGGAATGCACTTAACCAAGGAGAGTGTGTACTGGTAAAGACCTCTGGTGCTCCCTGATGACTGGCTGAGTCATTGATCCGGGTTGAGGTAACCCGATCTTCTGCCACTTTAATGGGGATATCCTCTAGTCTCTGCAAGTAGGGAAACGATTGAAGACAGTTCTCCTCCCCCCCCCCCCTGCTCTAAACTGCTATACAGATTTCATTTACTGCAGTGACTGAAATGTTGCATGTGTAGCACAGCAGGTCACAGTTCAAAGCAGGGAAAAGCAATGCTGCAATAAAAAACAAACATCTGCAGTAACTAATAGTTGGCAGTCCTATAAATAATGTTATGATGTGTAATAGGAGCAGTGTAACCACGAGAGACAATCACAATACAGGGGATCCACATCAGTAACATGTTCACAGGACATCCAATTTGCTACATTCCACACTGCTTTTTATTCAGGGATGTTTCTGGGTGTTTATTTAAAGAGGATCACACTGCATGTACCATATGAGAGCTTGTGTTTATCCCCCTGCAGGCCCATCATATGATACTAAGACCTCTCGAGGCAAGATCCTGTGACTAGCTCCTGCCTGGCCTGGTAGTCTAACATCTCAGCTGGATGGCTCACCTCCTTTCAGATCAGTTTACAAGGCTCGGGCTCCACTCATTGCTACGATGCCAGCGTAGGACTAATGAGGAAGTGAGGCAAATTGAGGATGTTCCCCTTGAGGATATACTAGTTTATTTGCCCCAAAAAATTGCAAAACATCTGTAAAGCAAAATCCTGTCCAGTTGAAGTTGAATATACTTTGTATTTACCTTCTTTGGACCACTGTGGTACCCATTTCTGTAAATATGACCGTACCATATTTATCTGCAGAGATAAGAACATCAGGAGCCAGAACTGTGTCCCACTTACTTTACAATGGCCTAGTTAGGAATAGGAACCCAAATGTCTTTGAGAGACAGACAGCGGGTTGTATTTTAAAGGTGAACTAGCCAAGAGTTAAGAGTTGGGCATCTTCCTGTAAAAGCAGCTCAGCTAACAAAGATGACTACAGCGTGCACGGTCTGACAGAACAAACATGTAGGATGATGACCTCGTGGCTTATACAAGGCTGTAAAAAGCTAAAAATGGACTTTGCCTTGAAAAAAAAAAAAAAGACCAAATCTCAAAAAACAAGTATAACTTGTAGTCACCACACAGTCATAAGTAATGGGTTGTCATCTGCCTTAATTATATTGCTTCCAAAAACAGGATGATGAATGTAAAGGCTTAAATATGGGACAGAGTGGTGTAGGAGCCTCTCAAGTTATTTCTGACAGTTGCTGTTGGACTGCGGAAGGAAAATAAGGAGAAAGCACCGACTGTTATCAGTTTGGTCCTGGTTTAAACCATCTCTCACACATCGCCTGATCCGATTCACACCTGAAGGAGTAGACAGCGTGCTTTTTAATCATACAAGCAAGATCAACACTCATACAGTGCAACTGCTGTTGAGACAAAACCAATAATTATTCTGTACTGCAAAAACCCAAGACTATGCAACAGCTACAGAGGAAATACCTTCTTGCATGAATGTGTAACTTGGCTGACGAGGGAAATCCGAGCCAACCGGTCCTGACTGTTCTGACTTTAAATGCAGGTTGTCCTGCTGCATGACAGGCCATGTGAGCCACACTTCAATTATTCAGTCTATGTGTATTTGTAGAAAACGGAGCAGAAGAGAGTGAAACGCTTCCTCCCGTCACTAGGAACGGTGTTTAAGTACCAACTTCCTGTCAATGAATCTGTTAAACGTCTGCATAAATAGTTATTATGGGAGGAAACAAACTGCAGGCCTGCAGAGAAGCCTGCTGCCTTCCTGTGGCAGCCCTTAATTAGGCAAAGTGCATTCAGGTGCGCCTTAACTGCTTTGCTTAAATCAATATAATTTATTCTACTATATCTATAGAGAATAACTTTGAAAAGATTCAAGCATTGTAACACAACAAAGCATAACTGAACAAGGTTGAATTGAGGTATTTCTTTATAATAACATGGGCGTTAAAATGTCTGTTTTATCACATATTCATGTTGACCAACAGGAACATGGGTGACTCTACTAATATGCATCTTATATGCTCCTGACCGCATTTGGAAACATAAAAGGATATAAGATGCTAGGTTGAACGTGTGTCATCACATCCTCTCATGTGTTTCTTCCTGCCTGACTCAATGTTCAGCAAAGGCTAACATAAACCTCAATATAACATACTAAGCATAACATAAGCCTAAAAATAGCTATCTCTGGTTAGCTACGGTTGTAAAAACGTGAATAAATACTCGTCCTGCATACAGTTCACGTTTCCTTTCCAACATTCTACTTTCAGTGGTTGACAGAAATGTGAGAAACCTGGCAGAAGAAATATCTGCAGCAGATGTTCTCACTTCACTTTCTGCCTAACTTATCATACAAAATGACTTTTTTCCTATTCAAAACGTTTCTATTACTATGACCAATCACATATTCCAGCCCAAACAAACTGCATTGTCTCTTTAAAGCTGAAAAACAATGACGGGAAGATAAAACAACATATCCAAATATTGTACAAGAGCTCAAAGAAGTGAGTAATGAGAAAGAGGGTGGTGACAGATTGGTGTCAGAGAAAACGCTAAACAAAACAAAACAGCGGTGCTGTTCACTCACGTGTTCGGTGCTCGACGCTGTCCTAGGGCCTGCCCTCTGCCAGGGAGCCCTGAAGCAAAACAGACCAGAATATGCGTCCTTTGCCGAGCTCTTCGAAGAGACTCTGAGGGCCAATTCAAAAAAAGGTCAGGAGCAACGGCCGTCTGCCTCAACGCAGCAGTCAGGATGAGGAAGTACTGCAGGCGGCCAACCGCTGTGCTGCTAACTCTTTCACTCTCACACAGAGTCTCAGCCATGGGGCATGGTTTTCTCCTCTCACAGTTTTTTTCCAGACTTTTTTCTTACTTGAGAAGAACACACGGCAAAAAAAGGAGAATGGACGAGGAGGAGGAACAGATCTCCAACATACCGGGCCATGCACGGTCTGAATAAGGGTAACAACTTTCTATTATGATCACACAGCCCAAACCGCTGTTGTTAGAAATGCAGGTGTCTGCACTTTGTTCTCAGGGCAGTGGCTTGTAATTGGATTTAACGTGGGACCGTGTGCGTTTGTGGTTTGTGTTCTTGAATTAAAAACCACCACGCAAAGCAAGTACTTGTTGTGAACTATGTCCAAAATGTCTAAAAAATAAAGATTGCTTCACGACATTGTTATGAGCTCTTTCTTTCCTACGTGGGCTGTGGGCTGTTTGGGCACAAACAGCAGCTACCAACACTGACAAAGCCAATCTTTGTGTGAGAAGCGCTTCTTAATGTGAGGGTGGATCATTTGTGGAGGGGTCTGCATTTCCTGCTCCACCATACTGGTCTAATTTGGATCCCACAACGTACGGCATGCCAAGGCCGTAAAGCATGTGGGTAGAGAGCATACTGAACTCTGGTCCGGGATGAAACAGCCTTCAGTTTGTGGCAAGTGGTAAATTGAGGAACTTGGTCTGACCACACCCCTACACCACCACTAAAACAGCTTTTTTTTTAAAAAGGATGCTGCAAAGGGTTGAGAAACAGTTCAGAATGCTTTTCACTGCAGGCTGTTTCACACCCCGCTGCTGATGTAGATGTCGAGTGTGATTTGACGCATGCTGCATGCTTTCGACTACACTGATTCTGCAATGTTGCGACTGGCGGACATTACAAAATGCTGTCAAAACATTGTACTGTTCCTGTGATTGTTCACTGCCAGTGGTGGGCTGTGGATTACATCATGACCACAGAAAATACTTGTTTACGTGTCAAGACACTTGAAACATAGTTCTAATAAACAGTCTAACTACTGTTTAATTTGTTTTTTTCTTAGGAAATTCATCTGTAGAGATATAGCAGAGAAATTGTCTTTGTTTTCTCTTCCAGTGTACCCTTTATGGATGGCTGCAGATCGAACAAACATGCCTGAGAGCATATTTGTATTATCAGGTCTGGAGAGCCTGCTGAAGATGGGAAACTTTCAGCAAGCCATGCAATAGCTGTTGAGACATTTCAGTCAAAGGCATGCTACATGACTTTTCCACCACTATGAGGTTGTTGCAGGGTATCCCGACCAACTTGTAGGAGTCCCCAGTGCAGCCAACAGTACATCACTTTTCCATTGGTAAGTGGCCATAGTGTAAGAACAATAACACAGTCCGAGGTGTCCCAATATAGGACATGGACTTAGATGAAAAGCTTACCACTAGAGACTTGTAATTTCCAGTAACTGGACCAATTGTTTGCCATAAAAACAGCCAACTGACATCCTCTTCCATACCGCCAGGATCCTTTGTATGAATTAAAACCAAACTTACAGAAAGGAAACAGGAAATAGCAAACCCCCGGAGTATGAAACTGGCCAGACATTAATAAATAATGATGGAACATAGAGCGATGTGGCTGGATGCTCACTAGGTGAGGTGGCAGCAGACACGTTGAAGCTCCTGAGAGCCTTTTTCCTCCCTCCGTCTACAGGAAAAAGCACTGAGTCACACTCTAAACATGGACACAGCACTGTCGCAAAGGATGTGAAAACAAATGTATCATGCAGAATGATGGCGAGTGTGTGGCTTGAAATACTGCTTTTTCCATGATCATTGAAGGCAGAGCCTACTTTCATTATACAATCAGAAACTCTACAAAACAACTGTTTCAAAAGTCATGCAAGCTTCATGCCAAGCTACAATTTTGCGAAGAAAAAAAATAGATCATGTAACACTAACTGTGGATCATCGGGGCTTGTAACGGTTGCCTGGTTAACATTGGCAACCTTTTTGAGAAATTGCCAACCAAATATTGGTCTTTGATTGCCATCAGTGGCAACCACCACAGCAGCTGCACATTTAACATCAGCACTAGAGCTAGTGAAGCAGAACAGATAGATAACTTGCTGTACAAATATAGAGTGTATATGTGCAATCTTTCACTTTGTGTGCTTACACACATGCATTATTGTATTAATTGTGCCTGTCACGTCGGCAGCTCTGAAGCATCTGTACAGCACCTGGGTTGAAGGAAGCGGTATAAGTCATTAGCTCAGCTAAAGTGAAACAGGAAGTGAGTGTGGGATTAGTCTGTGCACCATGCTGTGAGATGGTCTCTGCTCTCCCTCTGGGTTTCCCCATTAGTCTGAAGGGATCTGAAACTAGTACGCAAACCAATGCAAAACCTCCTTCCCAAACGCAGCATATGGGAAGTGGAACCCTAGTTTCGCACTATTGCAACAAATGTGTGACATATTCTGCAGGCGCAATTGGTGATAATTGAATGTGAGCAAAACACACTCGAATGCCTACAGCTGTACAAATATAACAGACTTTAAATGGTTCAAATTGCACTCCTGGGAATGGAGCCCTGAACCTACAGCTAGGAAGCAGTGGTTCACAAGTGGTACGTCTGCTTGTATGTACTGTGTTTAAGGCTACTGATTACTGTGCCAACTGCCTGTGTGGAGACTTTGATGTGAATAATTGCTAGAAAGAGTCAAACAAGAACCCCATCCAGCCTTCTAGTATCATACTATAATGTTTCTACCAAAACACAGAGAAACTACTCCTCGCCATTTGAATTTGAAATAGCCTAAAGAGGAGAGCTGCTGCTTAAATCAGCATCATTTAGTTCAGGAAGAGATGAGATGAAGGCAGAGCTTGTGAGGAAAGTGCTGAGTTGATGATTTCCTTTGATCTGGGTATAAATCAATAGGTTATTTGGCTGGCTTCTGGGCCTATACAGCAGGGGTTCTTACCATGAGATACTGGGAAGTTCATTTCTCCATTTGATGAAATATTCACATCTTTTAACCTGCATAAGTCAAGCTATGCAGCTTTCTTCACATCCTGTGCTCAAATTGAACTTTTAAAAAGTCCTCAATACTAGCTTCTATACAAATACTGCTTTCTAAAACATGACATAATATAATTTGCTATTTCATAATAAGACATGACTCGCGGGCATAATAATTAAGCCTATTAGCAAATATTTGTAACTACTACAGGCCCTACGTGGTTTCACCAGACAGACCAGATAAAGCAGTCGGAGTTGATAAAGAGACAGTTATCTTGCATATTTCGTCTTCTGTTCTATCTTTCTCAGAGCCGGGCTCCCTCGAGGGCCAAACTTCCTGCTCCGATCGTGTCAAAGTTCTCGTCTGATAAACAGTCAGTCAGAGCCACGCTGCACAGACGTCTGCTGCTTTCCTGTCTGCCTGGCTGGCTACATGTACAGCGAGTGGGCGGGTTCCATAGAAACACTATAGCATAGCATCCATGAGAGCCGCGAGGGAATAAAAAGACAACCGCTGAACAGATCTCAGTGGTTTTCCACAATGGAACCTCATAGTATTGAGTACAATTACTGTCCAACCTAAAAAGGCCCAATCCCTGCTCTGTCTTTTGCAACAGTACACAGACTTTGTGGCACAGAGCTATTTGATGTGCATTGTGGGTGTGTTCAATGTAACCTGTGTGAGAGAGACTTCAAAGAGAACAATGGGTCAGAACTATTTCAGCTACCAAGCAAACATTTTAATGACACAGACACACCCCACGCATGTGTGAATGTCACACTTGTAAACTTGCGTATCCTGTTTACCTGGATGAGATAACTCAATAATATATCAAATCATCTATCTTATCACCTCTGCAAGACACTGAGAATAGTGGAGAATGGCCTGACATTCATGTCAAAAGGCCATATATTGGCTTTACCTCAGACGTGGCCCAGATGACCCATTTACAGAAACGCCAGCATTCCTTGGAGCCAGTGAGTTAGACTGTGATGCTTGTCAAGTATGCAGTCTGTTTCCTGGACGTTCTTAAACTAAAGAGAGAGCGCTAGAGGAAGAAGATGCTTGGCCGATACCTTCCTTCACAGCGTATATATGCAGCTAATATATAGCATACCTCTCAGACAGAAAACGTCACTGTGCCAGTGCTGAAGTTTTTCTCTCCCCGAGCCATTTGGAAGGTGAAGCTTGAGAAGAAACTGAGAGAAGAAAGTCTGGCAAATACTGTGGAGGCTGGGAGCCATCTGTGTGTTTGCAAGAGGCAAAAGCACAGAGTTAAAAATATTACGCAAACTATCTGTAACCTGCTGACAGCATACTGAGCAGCCTCACATTCTGTCAGAAATAGGGGTGCTTCTATTCATCAAGCTGACTAAATGCCAGATCAGTGCTCATTCCTGCTCCAATCAGTCCATCTCCTCTTATCTCCTCAATTAAAGCCTCCTCCTCTGCAGTAAAGGACGTGCCACTCCAGCTGTATGCAGACCAGACCTCGCCTCTTCAGGACAGATTACAACTCTTTCTTCTCATTACTGAGTTCTTTCCCCTGAATGTGTGTGTGGAAGAGAGTGGGAAAGAGAAATGTGCTTCTGACCCGTATTAGTATTTTCCTAAGATCCTCATGCTGAAGAGGGTGAAGGCTAATCCTGTTATAAACAAGAGCGTCAACATCCACAGCTATAAAAGGCTAAATGAACGATTGCATAGGGACAAACAAGAGTTCTCTGGCAAACTAACCTCAACACAAAACAATTCAAGCTACTGTAGTATGCACGGAGCGTCTTGCGATGAGCTGTTGTGATGTTCACGTCACTTAACAGTAACCCAGTCAGCCCCTCTCTCTGGTACCACATCTAGCACCAACCAGGCTAGGGCACATTTACATATCATCTATTCACTCTCTCACTAATCCATACACATAATCTTGGGCCTCATTTATATTTGAATCTTAAATACAATAGCTCATTTCAAGCCTTCTAAAGCAACACATTGCCTTCAACTGTATATTGCTAATGGCTTTACCTGATAATAAACGCCAGGGAAATCATTGCTAGTTTGATCCCTTTATGAACCAGGACACAGTGTACACTTGCTTCCAAAACGGCTCTGCTCCGACATAGCCAGCAGGAAATCCACCATCTGGTCATAAGTTTATTAAGCGATAGTCATTTTACCTCAAACTAAGGCTGCCTCCTCGTAGTCGATTAGTCCACTATTATGCTTTTTTTCATCAAACTACATTTCTGCAAACAAAGACTACTGCTTGTCATTACCAAAGATGTAATCTCACAAAAACATTTCACAAATGAGGCCTTTTCCATTGTGAAGTGACCTGCAAAATATTGTGTATCTGACTTTGGTTGCCCCTCAACACAGAACTGTCCCGTCCCCCCCGTCCCCACACACACACACACACATTGATTGACAGGTCATTTCAGGGAAACACCACACAGCAACTTGTGGACTTGATGAACTCAGCCCACAGGTTCAAGCTGGTACGGCTCAGCAGCCTCCTTGATCCTCATCATTATGGGGAGTGGGGTGGTGTGTGTTCTGGTAAAGACGGGTATCTCACCGATTACTCCTTGTGGCCAAAGTTTCATGCAAGCTCAACATGGTGCTGGTAACTTTACTTACTCAACTCCGGCCCTGACTACTCACATTGTCAAACTGCGCCCACGAGACCATTCCTCCTCACAACTTTACTCCCCGAACCCCACATTGCATTGTTAAATAAATCTAAGTCTTGATTGAATCTTAAACGCCTGACCAGCACTGCTTTGACTAAATAAGATGTATTGTCCACATATTAGGACAGACAGCCGATTGCATCTCTTGACAGCATTTAGACTTGCCATGAACATATTGGGATTACTGGATACCTGATAATTTAATTGACCCCATTATTTAGAGTGTGAACACAGATTGATGTCTTAGGGTTATAGTGCACCTGCAGGTCGTTATTATGGTGCGATCGCATTCTCTAAAGAGCAACTGGGAAGAGAATTCAACATCTGAGCATCTGAAGTGTGCAGTGAGCGTCTGACGTACGGTGTACACGACTACATCCCTGCAGTATCTGCCTTTCACCCTTCTTACCACAGCAGTACAAGGTCAAAAGAAATGTTGTCACCCAACCCCCCCCTCCCTCCCTTACTCATTTCACATGTCAGTTACGGCATGCCGGTGACAGACTCCAGTGCAGCTGCTAATTTTCTACTCACAGTCCCTAAGTGCGTAGTTAAACCAGGACACCAGCACTGGTGGCGCTCAGTTGATGTTCCTGTGTGTGTGGGACAGCACTGAGAGGAGAACATGAATTTCCTTCAGAGCGTCACACATTGACATCTTCCCATCGAGGACAATTCGTGAGGAGATCAACCGGGTATCATTTACTGTCTCACAAAACAAGCCACACCACCGCTGTACCAACAGACATGGGTGCTCCCAACGACAGGAACTGCCTGGATAATGCGTTGAACAGAGGATGAGAGCAGTTCTAGAAGAAAAACGAGGGAGATTCAGTGTTTCAGGCTCTACGAGGGCATGCTAAGTATGCGTCCAGGCATAACAGATCCTTCTACCTCCAGCAATGACAAACAGAACGTCATGAAATCAATAACAAATTAAAATGTATCAATCCTATAAACTGTTGACAGATGTGTTCATGCGATGTTTCTCTTTCACTAGACATCACAGACACAGAAAAGAAAGGAGCCCCATCACATGACATCCATCAGTAAATGTCAATGGTTAAACTGTGTCCATCCCTTTACTCAGCGCTACAGTCTGAATGTCCGTCATTACGTTGACACAAGCTTCCCTTGGGGCTTTTTTTGTGTCTAGCGCCGCCTGTCCTGAACACAACCCAGACGCCAAAGACAGACTTCCAACTATTTCCCCTTCTTGGATGGTTAACCATGGGAACAAAAACAAAGGGTATAATTACCAACAAACATCCACATTGACCTCCTCTTAAATGACTGGTGCACCGCTCGTGTTTGAACTCTCCTTTCTCCTGGCATAATCAAAAGGAACAGAGGAAAGTGAAAGCTGTCATTTGTTGCCCATTTGGTTTCTCCCAAAGAACACATGCGCGTTCCATTGCAAGGCTGGCCTCTCCTATAAACACAAGACTGCAACGTAAGCTCTGCAATTAGGATAACTTACAACTTTACTCTCCCCCTTTTTTTTCATTATTGAGATGTCCAATTTTGCCGCACAGCAAGCCATGACCAACATAGAAAAGGTTTATATTTCAAGCATCACTCATCTCATTTAGACGGTGATGTGATGTTTCTGGGTTACAGGTAGAATGTTACGTGGCAGGAGTAAAATGACTCACAGCAGCTTAGTCAGGATAGTTTGCTGTAATTAAGCAATTAAGGGCCTAATAAAGACATTAACAACAACCTTTCAAAAATAACAACACCTAACACAACAGGGCCTTGTTTGACTGCTTCACATGGCACTGATCTAACGAGGAACAAACGGCAGCGCTCAAGTGGTTCCAAAGGAAACTTGCCATTGGCAGCAAATGTAAAATGTACATTAAAACACAGGGAAACCTAAGCAGTACAGCCAATTTGGTAAATTAATTTATACATTCCCAGGTTTATTTTAGGAAGCAAAGTATGATAACCTTGTGAAAAAGCAGGTGCTAAACAGTGCCTTGTTTCTACCGTTCATATAGATCTGAGAAAAAAAAAAAAAAACTTTCATTCATTCAAATCCTTGAAATTGAACGATGAAAGTAAATATTTGTATTGTTAAAACATCTTCAGTTCAGGGCACTGAGGTCATGTCCTCTGTATTTCAGGAGAAGTTGGTGGTTTTAGCAACCGGAGGGGACTTTACATTTTTTTAAAACTTACACATGGTGAGTAGTCTATAAACCAACTCCAATATTTAAAGGGTAATTTACATTTGACTGAGTTTAAGCTAAAACAAATAACAATAAATAAATAAAAGTCACAGCATCTCTCCTGCATATAAACAGGCTATTCCTGGCTGTGTGGAGGGCTTTGATGGAGCATTTAGACTTTCATGTCTTCTTATTCTTTAAATAAGATTTAAAGAAAATATAGCAAAAAAACTAAATGTTATAGTTTCTGGATTATGTAAGGATGGTAATCTCCACCGACATGTGAGACAAAATGACCGATATGTCCCTCAACACAGGACAGCAAATGAACAGAGATGTCGGGTAAAACATTACTAGACGATAACATTATCACTGTATTGTGACTTTTACTGACTTATAACCGTGGTGGAAGAAGAATTGAGCCAATCAACGGGATGCTGGTAAAGCAGATGTGGAGTAACGTTATCGACCACGTCCCCTGTTGAACTCACGACTCACCACGGTGCAGCGTTAGTAAACAAACATCCAGGATGAGTATCCTGGATGTAAGACCCGGGGCACGTTATTTACGTCCTGCACGCCGATTGTTTTTCGATTTATTTGACCAACATCAATTAGCCAGAAAACAACCTGTCCTTCGGCTCCTTCGGCTATTGTGTGACAGTCATTGCCGTGTCAGGGGCGACACGTCTGCTCCAGTCATTACATTAAAGGAACAGGGACGCTGTAACAGACGAGCTGCCATCAAGTCACTTTGACTCTCGACTGATACCGAGCGACACTCTGTGACAGCTTCGTCAATGTCCACCGACAACCGCGTTAGCGATAAAGTTTACACGTTTTAACTCAACACTTTGGTGAAAAGAAGAGGAGACGCTGTTGACACTCAGAAGTAAATGCGTATTAGCCATTAGCTTAGTCTCACCTGTTCAGTATTGCTGCTGCTGTTGTTTGCTCAGGATGCTGCCGCCGCCTAGCGCACGCGAGTCATTAAAGTGTCACCACCAGCCTGTCCTGGAGCCAGTAGGTGGAGCGCGTGAAGAGTTTGGTGCAGTGCTCGCGTAGATTTCTGGGACATGTAGTCTTTTTATTGGATAGTTCATTCCACTCACTTTGGGGAGTCAACACCTCTCTGTTAAGTTGCAACAACAATGAATACATTCAAGGTGAACAAATATGATTTATTGTAGGGATAAGATGTGTTAAAAACAGTTTAACAGTAATATTATTCATAATGCAGGGCAGTGTTGTGTCGAATGTGCTGACGCGAATTTAGATAAATCACACAAAATAGGATTTTTAGCTTTTAAATATAAATATTTCCTCACTCTTGCTAATTCCAGTACGTATAAAAATATATATGCTTGAATTGTGTTAATATTATTTCCGTTTTCTGACATCAGCCACGGACATGACAAATGTGACGAATCTGCAGCCACTCGTCTTTGACTGTATTTACCTACAGCGCTGTCTGTCATTGAGAAACATGGCTGCCTCCACGGGTGCTGCAAACACTGCTGCCGCCGACTTACAAGGTGCAGCTTCGGCCGGTTCGAGTATAGACAGCCCGCCGATTCAGTACAGTATGATCCTGGACCATCTCATCGGGGACAAGAGGGCCGTGAAGGACCTGAGCCCCGGCGTTATGGGGGGACTGGGGGCGCCTCATAAAAGCGACGAGCAGAAGATGATCGAGAGGGCAATGGAGAGCTGTGCCTTCAAGGCGGTTCTGGCCTGTGTGGGAGGTAAGCAACGACACTAACAGCACAGCTGTTCAGTATCTGTGTGTGTTTCTTCCCGTCCAGCTTCAGGTGACTAAACTGGAGTCAGAGCTCCGAGCTCTACTGCATATGTGGAAGTGGATTAGAAGGGGACACTGGGTTTGGGATGTTGGGATGTGGTTTCTGTAATGTAGGGCTGAAGTGATTAACTGATTGACAGAAAACAACATTCTCTTGAATCAATTTAAAGATGACACCTTGGGTGTTGGGAATCTGTAATGATGATTCAGTATTTCACAGATCAAACGATTGACTGATGTTTCCTGTGCATTACACATACACGATCAATAACCTTAAGGCAGTAATCTTTCTCAGATCAGAGGAGAGGAGTATCTTGTATTGCTTTCAGTCTGTAAATGTTGTGATTTCTTGTGTGTTTTTGTTCTCCACAGGGTTTGTCCTCGGAGGAGCTTTTGGTGTTTTTACGGCAGGCATCGATACCAATGTTGGCCTCGACCCCAAAGACCCAATGAAAACCCCGTCGGCACGAGAAGTCCTCAAAGACATGGGCCAGAGGGGGATGTCATACGCCAAGAACTTTGCCATCGTGGGCGCCATGTTCTCCTGCACAGAGTGCATCATAGAATCAGTAGGTCACGCCCCTTCTCTTCATTGTTTCCTTATCTGGTAAACACAACACAGCCCCAGACATTGTGTGAATATGATGCTATACACCACTGGACTGCATGATATAAGAATTAAATCAATTTAAATCACATTGAATTCCATATAAGATGCTCTACAAGACAACTACATTGAACCGAATTACAGGCAGGAGCTCAAAACAAACTAATAAATCAGTTCTTCTCTGTAGCAAAACAGGGAATAGACAAAATAATGTGAAGGGTTGATGTACAAGGTTTTAAACTCCATCTTTATTACTCAAGTGTCTTATTTATTTCCAAACCCTTCTACAAGGCTGGGTCACTTAGGCATTATGGGAGTTTTTTTTTTAAGTTGCATGGTTTTGCTAACACACTACCCAAAAGACCAAATACATCATTTGTGGTCAAATATTAGGTGTGTCAGTAAAAAAAAAAAACACAGCAGAATAATTTCATACTTCAATGGGAATATTATGGAAAATCATAAAGACAGATGGCGAACATCAGCAGAGAGGAACTGTAATTTTACGTTGAACCAAGGCTGATAAATGAGTTGAAAAACTGATATGATCCACCTTTACTGACTCATTTCAGGAATTGTTCATAGATTGACTTGAGAGCAGTGTTTTATTGGCTTGATTTATTATTTGGCCTCATAGCCTGGTTTCAAACCATCTCTGATGGCGCTTGGACAGAACGAATATGTTGTTGTTGTTTTGCCATTCAATATCCCATGTAGAATGTTTGAGATGATTTGTGTTCTGCTTCCTCATCAAAACGGTCCGACAGCGCCCTCTGGTGTGCCTAAACTGTTTTTTATTCTCCAAGTGATGTACAAAATGTTGTATGACGTATGCTAACTGATCATTCTAATATAAGTGTTAACTTTTTTTTCTTTCCACTTCTGGTGCACAACAATTTATTAATTTCTTTCTTGTGTCTGTTTTTCATTCGCAGCACCGAGGGAAATCTGACTGGAAGAACGCGGTGTACAGCGGCTGTGTGACAGGAGGAGCCATTGGATTTCGTGGTATGTAACCTGGTATATTTTGCTGTGATGTTTTTAAATTGAAGGTTCAGCGATTTCTTTTATCCTCACGTGTGTTGTTTCTCTGTTTTGTAGCTGGTCTGAAGGCCGGGGTTCTGGGATGCGGAGGCTTTGCTGCGTTCTCCGCTGCCATTGAATATTATTTACGGTGAACCAAAGAGTGACTCTATTCGGACTTTATGGATGTGCGTGTGGACGAGCCCTGTGACGAATAGGACTCGTCAATAGTTACCTGCACGTGGAGGATTGACACAAAAGCAGAGCTGATGTTTTTGGTGGAAGTTCCTATTTGAGTACAGTGGGCAGAAAAATACTCATTACTTCTACCATGTGGAGTACTTCACGTGGAGAATCTCCAGAAACTGAGCAGAGTGGATCTGCTTCTGTGTTGAAGAAATGTCATGAAAATGTTCTTATTGTAGAACATTAGTATGATGTGTCTACTGAACTAATCTACATCAAATTATTTTTATTAAAGTTGTTTTTTTTGTTAACTTGTTTAGAACTTTTCGTCTTTTAGTAAACACGTGTTCGTGACAATACAATCTTAAACTGCCTTTAAATATTAGTCTTATCTGATCCAAATAAAGTGCAAAGAACCTGAATAGTATAGATGAGTATAGTCTGAGGTGCAGCTGAATGTGTCACAGACTTTCAGATGTGAAATAACTAAATAACATTACAGCGAATGAGAGAGCTTTAGGGCTCTTAGTGTTTGGAGCCAGACAATTAAAAACTGCTAAGTTGTATTTCCTAAACATGCAAAAGGACAAAATATCTATGTTTTAAAGTATCACTTTTGTACCAGGAGGCACATTTGTGAGGCTTATAAGGACTTAAGTGTGACATGTTTGCCTAAAGCAGAACAGCTGGAGGTTAGAGTGGGTGACATCAGCCGCTCCGCTACCGCCCCCTTCTGGCCTGGACAGGATCCAACACTGATCCTCTTAACGTTAATAACATAAAGTTCATTTTATGTCAAACAATGTGACTACATCCTGTGTGGGTCACATTCTTCCCCAGATATTACTTTACATCACCACAAACATGAATATAAAGCACATCACATGTATTTTACAGCATCCCAAAGATGCTTTCCAGGTCAGATCACAGTTAAATCACTGAATCCATGGAAATATTATAATACATGTTTGATTCCTGTATTTTAAACATTTTGAAAATGATCATCCCACAAATATGAGTTGCTGTCAAAGTGCACCTTTAAAATGTTAAAGTGATATTCAGAGATTATTAAAGTAATTTAGGGTTGTAATTGTTTTAGCCTGAACACATTGGTCAATTGTTATTGGGGTGAATATGTATAGATATGTTAAGCTATTATAATCTTCTAATAAATTAAGTATATTAAGGGGTGAAGGGGTCAGTTTGTGTTTTCTTCAGGATTTTGTTTGGTTCATTTAAAGTTATCAAGATTAAATAATATTTGCAATGCACCACCAGTAAACACTTGCTTCCCTTTTATAATGTATCACATCTGGAGTCAGTTGTTTTAAAACATAGTTATCAGTGAGCAGTGAATAGCTCTGAAATGTAATAGTGTAGTTATTTATGTTAGCAGGTTGTAATGAAGTTATTTTTAAACCTTTGTTCTAATTCTAACTGCTGTGAAAAAAATGACTGAAACTACAGGTGGATGGACCACAATGAAAGAAACAATAGCAACTTACAGTTAAAAGGAATTTCATTCACAATGTAATACAGTTCAACACAACATGTAACAATATGTTAGAAAATGAACAAGTACATTCAGCATTTCACATCATAAAGATACAATAATGTAAACATTTCAACATTAAAATAGATGAGCACTATACACTTTACTATACATGTGTTTTAAAATAGTTTACATGTCAGTTAGCAGTGTTCATCAACCACCTCCTATGTGTTGGTCATGTGCCTGTTGGCTAGTTTCAACGTGGTTGTTGACATTTTAATACATTATAATAATCATTTTTACAGATTTTGCAGCTGTGGCATGGTCATAAAACTTAAAACAGCAATTAGAGTAAATCAGAGACACAGAAATCTTGTTATTGATTTACTTCTTTGTAACACACTCCGCTCCGCCGAGACTCCCGAGACTCCACCCCGCCGAGACTCAGCTCAGAGTCTCGGCTCCGCGCTCCGCCGAGTCTCTGCTCCGAGTCTCCGCTCCTCGCTCAGCCGAGTCTCTGCTCCTCCTTGTAGTTTGGTCTGTACCCATCCAGCTGTGGCATGCTCATACAACTTAAAACGGCAATTAGAGTAAATCAGAGACACAGAAATCTTGTTATTTATTTACCTCATTGAAACACACTCTGCTCCACCGAGACTCCAATCCGCCGAGACTCCCGAGACTCCGCCCCGCCGAGACTCCGCTCCGCACTCCGCTGAGACTCGGCTCCGCACTCCGCCGAGACTCGGCTCCGCGCTCCGCCGAGACTCAGCTCAGAGTCTCGGCTCCGCGCTCCACCGAGTCTCAGCTCCGCGCTCCGCCGAGTCTCAGCTCCGCGCTCCGCCGAGTCTCTGCTCCGAGTCTCCGCTCCTCGCTCCGCTCCTCGCTCCGCCAAGTCTCTGCTCCTCCTTGTAGTTTGGTCTGTACCCATCCAGCTGTGGCATGCTCATACAACTTAAAACGGCAATTGGAGTAAATCAGAGACACAGAAATCTTGTTATTTATTTACCTCTTTGTATTTATTGCGAGCCAACCCCTCCTCCAGAAGGCTGGGGGGCCTCCTGCTGCTGCTTCAGGCCACGACACTGATTTCTAGCTTTTAAGACTATGAATCAACACACTTACCGTAAATAAAACAATAAAATAAATGTAAAAGTGATCTTACCTGCTCGGTGATTATCTTACCCGGTGGGCGACGCCCTACAGCAGGTGTTTCTCGTTAACCTGTGGTCCACTGAGGGTCGTCTTCAGGTTCTGTTCTCCACAAGTAGTCGATGAATCAGTCGTTTCGTTTTCGAACAAAATCCCTTTTCCAGTAGATTATAACTCCAAGAGTTGTCTTCCACAGAAAGCTCTTGCAAGAGGTCAACTGGTCTCCAAGTTCAGATGCAAAGTGAGAATCTGAGGTCCGCTGAATGTTTATAGCTTCAGTGGCGTCGTTTCCATGACATTTACTGACGTACGTGCGTTCGTTGTCGAACACCCGATAGCAACAGAGACGTTGTTTTTATTTAAAAATCTCATATTTGTTAATATGTAGTTTAATAGTAGTTTGTATACACACACACATATATATATGTGAGCAGAGACCACGTTTTAACACGTCAAGCACATATCCCTTACTTTTAATTAGAAGAAAAAGAGCAACTATATTGCTCTTCACGTAGCAGCTCTGATTTCTGATGGTTGATTACAGATTGGTCCTAGAGGGCACGTGACCTAAAGGCTCAGTGGGTACCAGGGAATCTGTGTGAAGTCACTCATATTATTTATTGTGGGAGGGTGAAAGGGCTCATAAAAAACTCCTTTAGAAAAACAGCATCCGTGTCCATCTTATTATCCCTCCTAGCAAATATCACACACATGTAAGAAATGAAGAATGCTCTCTGTTGTAACCTTATCAGAAAGTTCCCTCAAAGACCTTCAGTCATTTGTCCGGAGAATACATCTGCATATAGATTTCAGAAGGTTTGGCCTGCCCTAAATATGTCAACATATCCGGGATGTTTCCTGCACTGATGTTCAACACATTTACAGGTTCAACTTCCATTAGAGTTCACTTTGGACAATGTGTTCAATTGACCAGATACAAAGATCTGACACTTGAAATGTCCAAAGGTGGTTTAATTGTTCAGAATGAATCTTTGTTTTATATGATGTAGTGAATGATTTAAGTGGATCATAAGGAGAAAAAATAACATAAATAGAAGTCTAAGACTAAAAATGATAAAGTGTAGATATACATTACCATACAGTAGAGAAATACCGTACAATATGTAAATTGGGGAAATGGATAGTTGGGGTGGGGTTTTTAATCCTCATATGCTTCATATCTAAAATATTTAAACTATTTCATATCTTATGTTTTGGTTTCTTGTAAACCACTTGATAACTTGGTTTTAAAAGTTGCTGTATAAATAGTTATTCAATCAGCATCATCTCACAATACAATGATATGAATATGTTATGTTGTAGTATTTTGTTTTATAGCTATGTTATTGTGTCTCTATACAGCGGGTCATTAAAACCACCCAGAACATCATTGGCACCCATCTACTGTAATAAAG